AATTACGTTTTGGCCTCTATTTTTCGATTTTTCTTTCAAAAATACCTTCAAAACTCAAATTTTCATCCATTTTTCCCAAAATTATTTTCAATTAAATCCTCCTTACATTTTATTTCATTTTTTTACTCTAAATTAAATAAAATAAAATACAATAATAGAAAATAAAAAGAAAAAAAGTAAAAATTTATATTTATTAATTTTTAATCCCCAAAAAGAAAATTGTGGGTATTACAACTCTCCCCCCCCCCCCCTTAAAAGAAATTTGGTCCGTCAAATTTGTCTCTCACTCTCAATCGAACAACTGGGAGTACTGGACTCTAAAGTCTAATTCTAGCTCCCATGTAACCTCTCTCGGTCTGTGGTTCTGCTATATGATCTTTATAAAGGGAATTTTTCGGTTGCAGAGTAATATACTCTTTTGATCCACAATGCCAACCGGTACTTACTCGTAGGATAGATCCTCTTGGAGTGGAAGAGACTCGTGGGCTAAGACATGAGAGTGGTTTGGGTTGTACTTGCGTAGCATGGACACATGAAACACATTGTGGATCATGAAAAGTTCTGAAGGCAGTGCTAGTCTGTAAGCAGCAGTACCAATTCTGTCTAAGACTTCAAATGATCCAATAAATCGAGGGTTCAGTTTCCACATCTTACCAAATCTATTGATTTTCTTGAAAGGAGTGACCTTAAGGAACACCCGATTGCCTTTCTCAAATTCCAAATCTCTCCTCCGGGTGTCTGCATAACTCTTCTGCATGCTCTGAGCCGTCTAAATGTTCTTCCTAATCTTAACTATTTTAGATGTAGTCTCCTCTACCAGATTTGGGCCGAATAGTTTACTATTGTCTACTTCTTCCCAATAAATCGGTGATCTGCATGGGCGCGCCTATAACGCCTCATACAGAGCCATGCCAATACTCACTTGGTAGCTGTTGTTGTAGGTGAACTCTATCAGGGGTAGATGGTCATCCCAATGGCCCCCGGAATTAAGAACATAAGCTCGGAGCATATCCTCAAGTGTACGGATTGTCCTTTCTGACTGTCCATCGGTATGAGGGTGGAATACAGTACTAAGGACAACATCGTTCCCATGGTTTGCTGAAAGTTATTCCATAACTGAGAAGTGAACCTGGGATCCCTGTCGGACACTACTATCACTGGGACTACATGTAACTATTTCCTATATATACATTCTTGCTAATTTGTCCAATGGATCGGTTATTCTGATGGCTAAGAAGTGGGAAGACTTGGTAAGCCGGTCAACAATTACCTAGATTGCATCATGTCCTAAGCGTGCCTTAGGTAATCTTGTTACGAAGTTCATGGTGATATGTTCCCACTTCCATTCCAGGATCGGTAATGGCTGAAGTAGCCCGCCTGGACGTTGATGCTTTGTATTGACCTCCTGACATACCAAACACTTAGAAACAAAGTCAGCTATATCTTTTGTCATCCCATTCTACCAAAATCGGGGTCGCATACTTTGGTACATTTTAATGCTTCTGGGATGCATGATAAACTTTGAGCTATGGGCCTCTGTCATGATGTCCCTCTTTAACTCACTGTCACCTGAAACACACACCCTGTCCTAGAATCTGAGTAACCCATCGGTGGAGATTCGAAATTCTAAGCTAACTCCCTGTTCTGCATCTCTCTTGAGGGCTACTAGGGTGGAATCGGCGGACTGAGCTTCCCTTATTCTCTTGATTAACTCAGGCTGAACGGTCAGACGACCCAAATATGTGGCTCTCCTCAAGTCCTGAAGCCGTACCTGTTGTGTGGCCCAAATCTGCCTATATTTTGAAACCATCAAATGGGCTAATGTACCTGCACTTTTTCTGCTGAGTGCATCGGCTACCACGTTGTCCTTACCCGGGTGATACAAGATGTCGCAATCATAGTTCTTAAAAAGTTCTATCCACCTTCTCTGACGTATGTTGAGATCTTTTTGAGTGAATATGTATTTCAAACTCTTGTGATCGGTATAGATCTGAAAAGTCTCTCCATATAAATAATGGCGCTAAGTCTTCAAGGCGTGTATGATTGCTGCAAGCTCTAAGTCATGGGTGTGATAATTTTTCTCATGATTCTTCAATTGTCTGGACCCATAGATTATGATATTCTCATGCTGCATTAGAACATAACTCAGACCTAGGTAGGAGGCATTACTGTAAACTGTATATCCCCCCAATCCACTCAGCAATGCCAACACAGGTGCAGTAGTCAACCACTTCTTTAGCTCTGATAAACTTCTTTCACAGTCCTCATTCC